ATCCTGTAAACAATTTGAACATAAAAAAGCTGTAACAGCCCAATTGTGTTTCTGATCAAAGGCAAACTTCAGCATACAGCACAAACGAAAACTTCATCACTCTGGGACTCGTTTCTCCCTCCAGGAAAAGCCATTTTCCAAGGGTATGTAGGAGGGAGTTAACATAAATGAAATGCACAGCAGTAGTAGCAGCTGCCTGCTCTGCAGCTTCAGATGTGTCTATTTAAATTATTAAGAGATAATGGAATTAAATTATGCTGGAAAAGTCACGTTACAAAAAATCATGAACAAAGCCTGCACTCTGGCCAGGATTAATGGTGCTAAGGTTGATGTTCTCAGAGAGTAAGGAGAACTGATGTTCCTCCAAAGACACAGGGACTAGATAAGCAGGAATCCCAAACTGGAAAGCCTGGGGAGGGGGACAGACATGGAGCTGCAGGCAGGTGATGCACTCCTGTTCCACCTCTTGTCCATCTCACTCAGATATGAACAGCTCTTTTTCCAAGCATTACTAAGGGCCCAGACTCTTGGATGCTCCCCTACCACCTGGATTTCCATGGGAATCATTTCCCTAGGATATTTTCAGCACACCAAGGCAAAGCATCCCTGCCCAAGCAATGGGTGCAGGGCTGATTCACTACCAGAGACAACCTGGTTCAGTGACAGTGATTCATGCCTTGGGGACCAAGCCACATCCCTCCCAGATTCCCAGCCAGGAGCAGTGGCAGCACAGACACGGGAGCACCACAACGCTCTCCAATGCAGCATCTCTCAGCCATGACATGTAACCAGCCCTGAGGGGCCCCAACATCCACATGCTGCCCCCGAGAAGTCACAGGACCCTTCCAATTTTAGGGATGCATCTTCCCATCCAGCTCTAAGGGCAGCTAACTCCTAAAGGAAAGCGAAGAGACTTCTCAAGGGGTTTTACCACCTCTTCAAGGGAGGTTTTGGGGGGTGGGAAGGATTAAACTGTGCTCTAAATTTTTAAATTATTAGTATTTCTGAGGAAGAGACAGTTCCACAGTACACACCCAACCTAACCCATCACACCTTGAGCTTGATCTCCTATTCAGCCCAAATAGATGCAGAAAGGGGATAAAACATATACACAAGACTTAAAAACCTTCAGGATATCTACCTGCTTTTTAAATACATTACTTCTGTAATTTCTGCTACCTCAGCTATAAATAAGTCTGCAAAATAAAAGCAGCAAGATGGAAAAAAATGTGTGTGAGAGGCACGGGGTAGCTGTGGGACACCTGAGAGGAATGGCTGTGGGCACAGGGGGATGTCCACTTGTCAGCCTGCCCAGCCCTCCCCGTTTGGTCCATCAGCCAGGAGCTTTGAAGGTTCCATCCTAATGCATCCAATGCAAATCTGACCTTTCTTACAAGTGACTTTTATTGCTTTTGGCAAAAGCAGCCTGGGACAACACGAGGCGGGGGGGGGGAAACTGGCTTGAAAGCAAACAGACTGAACTGCAGAGGGAGAACTTGAACTTGGAAAACATCAAACTGACAGGGCCAGGGAAGTCCTCAGCCAAGCCCAGGGCAGAGGCTTAGAGAAGGCAACAGCCTCCCAAGCACCAGGAGAGCCCCTGCACCTGCCTGCAGGCAATTATTGACATTATCTCCAAACAGGGGATCTTTTGGGAGGCTCTTTTCCTGCTATTTAGTAGTTTGAATGCTAATCCCTTTAACAAAACTGTCCCCTATGCTCCTTCCACCCTCCTTCCCCTTAATCTCTTTCTCCCAGTGGTAAAAAAAAATAAAAATAAAAGGGAAAAAAAAGAAAATAAAATACCAGTCGGCCTAGTTTGGCCGCACCTGGATTTGCATTGATTCTTCCCTTGTCATTCATGTTACCAACAGGAATTAGCATATGGCTTTAAGGGGAAACTCAGGAGGAGAAAAGAAAGGCACCATTTTGATGGAAATAAGGGGCAAAGGAATAATCTACCATCAACTAAAAAGCTTATTTGTGTACGGTTTCCCAAGCAAAGCTTCGAAAAAACCCATGTTGATTTTAGGCTACACAAAGAAACCCTAATCCTTTCAAGGGAACTAAATCACCAAAGAAAAGTAGCTGGGAAGAAAAGGCTCCCCTGTCAGGCCTGGGTATTCACATCCAAATAGATGCCATGAATCAAGCTCGGTGAGTAAACAAAAATAAGAATGTGGGAAATGTGTTTGATTAAAAAAAAATAAAAATCAAAAAACCCAATAAAAAAAAACAACTTAAAAAAAAAAAAAAAAGGAAAGGAAGAGGAGCCTGCTCTTCATCAATCACCTCCCAGGGAGGAGAGCCCCTCACCCCCTGCTTTTTAAATACATTACTTCTGTAATTTCTGCTACCTCAGCTATAAATAAGTCTGCAAAATAAAAGCAGCAAGATGGAAAAAAATGTGTGTGAGAGGCACGGGGTAGCTGTGGGACACCTGAGAGGAATGGCTGTGGGCACAGGGGGATGTCCACTTGTCAGCCTGCCCAGCCCTCCCCGTTTGGTCCATCAGCCAGGAGCTTTGAAGGTTCCATCCTAATGCATCCAATGCAAATCTGACCTTTCTTACAAGTGACTTTTATTGCTTTTGGCAAAAGCAGCCTGGGACAACACGAGGCGGGGGGGGGGAAACTGGCTTGAAAGCAAACAGACTGAACTGCAGAGGGAGAACTTGAACTTGGAATACATCAAACTGACAGGGCCAGGGAAGTCCTCAGCCAAGCCCAGGGCAGAGGCTTAGAGAAGGCAACAGCCTCCCAAGCACCAGGAGAGCCCCTGCACCTGCCTGCAGGCAATTATTGACATTATCTCCAAACAGGGGATCTTTTGGGAGGCTCTTTTCCTGCTATTTAGTAGTTTGAATGCTAATCCCTTTAACAAAACTGTCCCCTATGCTCCTTCCACCCTCCTTCCCCTTAATCTCTTTCTCCCAGTGGTAAAAAAAAATAAAAATAAAAGGGAAAAAAAAGAAAATAAAATACCAGTCGGCCTAGTTTGGCCGCACCTGGATTTGCATTGATTCTTCCCTTGTCATTCATGTTACCAACAGGAATTAGCATATGGCTTTAAGGGGAAACTCAGGAGGAGAAAAGAAAGGCACCATTTTGATGGAAATAAGGGGCAAAGGAATAATCTACCATCAACTAAAAAGCTTATTTGTGTACGGTTTCCCAAGCAAAGCTTCGAAAAAACCCATGTTGATTTTAGGCTACACAAAGAAACCCTAATCCTTTCAAGGGAACTAAATCACCAAAGAAAAGTAGCTGGGAAGAAAAGGCTCCCCTGTCAGGCCTGGGTATTCACATCCAAATAGATGCCATGAATCAAGCTCGGTGAGTAAACAAAAATAAGAATGTGGGAAATGTGTTTGATTAAAAAAAAATAATAATCAACAAACCCAATCAAAAAAAACAACTTAAAAATAATAAAAAAAAAAGGAAAGGAAGAGGAGCCTGCTCTTCATCAATCACCTCCCAGGGAGGAGAGCCCCTCACCCTGGTTACAGGCCTCCACCAGGAATGTGGATTCACTCAAATGCCAAAGCTTTTTACAGCGAATTAGCAAAATAAAGATGCAGTCACATGTAGTTTGGGGGCCTTGGGTCACTCCAAACACACAACTCTTCCTTTCTCCTCGTCTGGGCCACCTATTCTCTGCCTATGGAGGGGCCAGAGGGGAAACCTGGAAATGCAATTAATCAGCAAGGACAGATAAGCTTGCCAAGTGAGATAACCTTGTTAGACCACAGAAATAATCCAGACTGTACTTCCAAAGGATGCTAATACACGAAACACAGGAATATGGATCCGTAATGCAATTAAATATAGGTATAATTCAATATGCAGCAAAGGACTTTAGAAGCTACAGCACAGAAACCTGGGGATCCCAGACAAAACAGGGTCACACACTCCCCAGTTAAACCACTCATGAAATTAAAAGACACAGAAAAACACCAGAATGACCCAGGGGAATAACAAATCCAAACCTGGTGAGAAGCACACAGGGCAAATAACTGAGCAAATCCACATGTGGGCAAAAAACCCCCCTAAATTTTGAACTAATCAAATCCATCTCTTCTAATGCAAACTGACTCAAATGTTCCAAGAAAACAGTGAGGTAAAATACGGGGGTTTGCACCCTTTTACTAAACAGGGACCATACAGTACCGTGGAGAAGCAGGGGTGAAAACCAGATGCATTTTAAAGGCTTTGAATTACACTTGTTGGTGCAACTCATGCCTGGAGCTGCTCTCTCAACCTTTTTTTCAAAAACACAAACTAAACCAAAAGTAAGAATTAAAAAATAAAAAAGCCCCAAAGCCTACAGAGTCTTTCTAGTAACACTGCTCCAGAACAAGCCCTGCACAGAAGCTCACTGGCACTGATTTAGGGTAAGCTTTTCCTTAATGTACTGTTATATCATTAGCCACTCTCTCTTCGGATTGCTGTTTGGAAGAAATTAATGGGATACTGAATATTTAAATGTGGCCCTCTATATCATTTATTAACTCTACAGAAAGCACACAGCACAGTAAGCCATGGTTTATGACTATTATCCTGTGAATACTAAATGCTGGCTGGTTATTACTGTCAGCAGTGCAAATTGGCTATTCATAATTCCACGTCTATCATGTAGCTGATGAGTAACAATCAAGTTAAAACATTTTGAAAACTCTTACAGTTATTTAAATGAGCTTAAATTAAAGCCATTTGTAAAATAAACTATTCCCTAATATTGTTATTTAAATTAATCCTGACCTGGCAGGCAATGCATTATTTAAAGCCTTTATTTTATATTGCTTAAGCAAAGCAATTACCAAGCATACAGAACATGTCTGAAACCAAGAGAAACATAAAAAGCACTAACAAGCTGATTGTGACACTTCTGCAAGACAAGTTCCATTTCATCTCCCATGGAAATTGCCATGAAAAGAAACGGAGGGAGGAGGGGGGGAGGTTTGGAAATAAATATGTTTGCAATGTGAATTGCAGCCTTACCTTTACTTGTAACAGCGTTGAACAGTTTTTCAGAGCTGGCATCAGATGCCTGAAAGACCAATAAAAACAAAAACAAAAAACAACACGTTACATTTCCTACAAGCGATCGATTTCAAAAAGGCAAGGCAGTACATTTATACACACACACACACGTATATTTTAGAGAAGCAAATCAGGTGGCAGAGCCACAGGCAGCTGCAGGCTGGGAAGCAGATGGCCATGCGGTGGTGCTGTCTGGCTGTGCTTCACCGCCCTGCACTGCAGCCCCTGCCTGGGAAGACTCTATTTAAATACAGAATTTTTTATGTTATTATTATTATTATCATTTAACGTATTAGCTGCACAGAAACGACGTTTTGGCACTGTGATTATCCAATACATTCTGACGTTGGTTTGGTGAGGCAGAAGAGTGATGGCTCAAGCTTCAGGAATTTGCAGAACTGCAGGTTTCTTCATTAATTTTTAAAGTATTTTTGGAGACCCGTCCTGTGTCAACCATTGGATTTTTACCATCTTTAAATCAGTGCTGGCACCTTGCTTTAGTAATTCTATAAATGGCTGTAATGTATTCTTTGAAAAACTATGCTAATAATATTCAGTATCAGCCTTTTATTTCCACCTAAGATTTGCCTTTGTCAAAATAACTGATTCCTGACACCACGCTCTGTATAAACCAATAACCCATTTCCTTTTTCACCAAGCCACCTTCATCCATGGCAGGTTTTTCCTCCTAATATTGTGTTGTACCTTATCTACCACTGCTGTTCGTATGCAAGTCTGCCCGTTCATCTTCCTACCTATTATTAAAAACCCTTATTTCAGTTTCACACAAAGCCACTGAGCTCCCCCTTCCAGAAACTATAACGGCAAGAAACCAGACTGAGGAAGATAACACTGCAAATGTTGATTTTACAAACATCCTGAGCCCCACAGCAGAAAGCATTAAGTTCAGGCATCTGTGTGCAGCTGTGTGTGCACACAGATAATACACACAGACCTACAGCCAAAGCTTCAACTTACACCACCTACACATCCCCAAAACCCAACTGTCTATCTTGGACCCAGCTGAGATTGTCTGCTCTTCAGAAACACACTGGGAGAAACGTGCCCAGGAACAAACCACTGCAAACAGGGAGGAAATGCAACACTGGAGAAAGATTTCAGTCCTCTCCTAGGAACTGTTTTCTCACTGGATTCAGGAAAAATCATTATTAAAATCACTGCCTATTTGGAAAACAGGCTGTGGTTTTTTTGTTGAAGGGATTTCTCAATTCAAAACCACACAAAAAGCATCAGTCGAGCAAGACGCAGAAGATGCCTGGACTGTACTGAAAACTTAGGTGTGAAATTACTGATAAAGAAGTGCATCCAGTTCAGACTGCATATCAGAGTGTAGTAATACACTGAAATAACTTGTTTGCCCTCAAGTTAACAACGTACAGGATTTCTATGATTGATTATTAAAAATAGCTTTATTCTTTTTCATGTTTCTAGACAGATTTTACTAGATTACTGCTGGCTTATGTAGCAGCTGAGCTGGTGTACTTCTTCTTGATTAAATACCTTGTAAACACTGGATTTATTACCCAGTGATGGATTTATTATTCAGTGGCGACTTTCTATACATTCATGAAAATATGTGAATAATGCAGAGATTGAAGAGATCAAGAGGGCCATGTGCTCTGAAGAGCAGTCCAGTATTAGTCCAACAAATGAAGAGATGCTGAATGCTCTCCTAACCTTGCCAGCCAGCTCCCTGATTAAAAATAAAAACCTTCTCCAGTGAACTTCATCTGTTCTTGCCTTTAAAAATGCAGCTTCTCTCAAAAGCCAAAACTCTCTGCACCATTATTTCTTCTTAGAAATAAAACGTGATTTTGAAAAAAAAAAAAAAATAAATCAAACTTCTTAGAGTTTCAGCTCTTTATTTTACTGCTTCAAAATGAAGCAGGAGGCAGAAGCCTTAAAATTCCTATTTGCTTCATTCTGCCAGGCGTTAAAAAACATGTTAAGAGAAGTTTGCCCTAATGCCCAGCAGAACCCAAGAGATTGTTTTCAAGCTCCGGTTTTGCAGGTGAAATATCTTCCTGTGCTGGTGCACAAACCGGTCAGAAACGCTGCTGGGAGACCTGGAAGTGGCACTTGTGGGACCCGCCGTGGTGCACAAAAC